GTACATGGGGGGTACTGTTTTACTCGGGAGACATCGCTGAACACAAATATTAGTGTTTAAAAAACTGGAAAACGTATCACAACAATTATATCATCAGTAAAAGTGCTGTTTGTGTGTGAAAAATGCACAAAAAGTAACTTTCACTGACAATATCATCACTGTGATATGTTTTACTGTTTTGAATCACTAATATTTGTGTTCAGCGAAGTCTCCCGAGTAAAACAGTACCCTCCATGTACAGGTTTTAGGGTGTCGTAGAACGTTACAGGGTAAAATACAGTGCTAGCAAATTAAATTCTCTGGAATTTCGGCCTGGGTTGGCAGGCAGGTCCTCAAATTGCAATCAATAAAATTACTGAATTATGTAAAAATATTACATAAATACGCACGTAGAATTTAAATATATATGCATATTTATATATTTGAAGTCTACGTGTATATTTATATAATTATTTATGTAATTTTGTATATGGACGTATGTATATTTCTTATTATTTTATTTATTTTTATATACATAGATATATATACAAATTCATTCTAAGTGTATTTTGATATAAATATATATATATTAATTTTAAAATACAGTTAGAATAAAATTTCATATAGCTATATAATTTTTTAAATTTTTTTTATTATTATTTTAAATTTTTTTTATTTAATTTAAATTACTTATTATTTATATTTTATAATAATATATATATACAATATATATAGTTATTATATATATTATATATACGTGTGTAATTTAATTATAAGTGTATTTTTATATTAATATAAGTACATATTAATATAAAAATACACTTAGTATGGCATTATATATATGATATATAGACATATATTATATAAATATATAAATATATATATACTCAATATATATTACTCAATCATCTGGGGTGGCAAGACATAGCCTTACATATTACATGCAACAATATATGGCGCAATGACTTATGGGGCTGGCATAGATTTTTTTTTCCAGGGATGCTTTGTATCCCCAGTCCGGCCCTGCTTAGAAGCACCTCTAGTGGCCGTCTGAGTGACTGCCACTAGAGATGTTACTAGGCAGCAAAGTAAACACTGCCTTTTCTCTGAAAAGGCAGAGTTAACCTTGAAAAGTCGGCAGGGACTGACATTAGACATCAGAACAATTAAATTAAGCTGTAGTGATTCTGGTGAGTATAGTGTCCCTAAAAGCGAAAGTTGTTTAGAGCGTCTCTTTAATTTACTAATTAGACAAATTGGTCCCATAAGGAACAATGGCATGGAATGCCCTGCATACTCTGTGCATGCCTGCTGTTGCTAAATTCATTTACATACCTCTCTTTCTAATTTATATGCTCCACCTTCATATACTTCACTATTAAGACTATTTTATATAATCTTCCTATATTATGTACTCACTACCTCATCCTCATTCCACCCACAACAATCTTCCCAATTTCAGATCCTCCCTACTAAAATAACCCTATTCAAGAGGTCCAGTATTAAACCCATGCATAATGGAACATTCCAAGTACCATAAGCACTACAGCTCACTGTAGAAGTTATATTTCAAGGAATGCCCTGGCGCCCCACACCAGTTAGATTAGGAACCTACCCTTTTTTGAACCGTTTTACTTCTTACTTAGGATCTACAAAATGGCGCTCCCCGACTCTACTACTAAGGCCAGAAGAAAAAAAGGTCATACTTCTGTTAGATCTCCTGAGTTGAATTTGAGACTTGGAGTATTTTTTTTCAGTATTTTGGTCCAAAATGTACAATTCCATGTCAATAAGCCATAATTCATGACTTACTGCAGAGGTAGGCAACTTTCAACACTCCAGATATTGTGGACTACATCTCTCCTGGTGCTTTGCCAGCAACATCTGGAGTTTAACAAGTTCAATTACTGTTGTGTGCAGATCAGATTGACGTACTGTGAAATTACACAGGTTGAAGAATCCAAACGATGTCCTTGGTAAAATGGTGTCAATGAGTTTATGAAAGCTAATATGTTATGTAAACATACAAAATTATACAGTAAGAGTACTTGACTCTCATTTCAAAGCACAATTTAATGTGCCCATTGCTCAATAAATTAGTATTTCCTCACAATTAAAGCCACCCTCCAAGCCACGCTTCCTTAAACTCCAGCCCTCCAGATGTTGCTGAACTACAACTCCCATGAGTCTATGAATGAAATAGACAGGCTGAGAATCATGGGAGTTGTAGTTCAGCAACATCTGGAGGGCCGGAGTTTGGGGAAGCCTGTTCTAAGCGTTACAAAACAAGTGATCAACCTGGAAATTAGTTAGCTGGAAAACGCTTTTTTGAGCTTTGTTGAATAACTTAATTTAGACAACTGAGCTCTAAAAGCTAACACATGAGAATTCTGCAATGCGATTGACAGGCCGACTATTAAAAGCTATTTCAATCTATAAGGAATCTAGGCCCCACTTAGTAGCATTAGACTGAATGATGGTAAGAGAGCACTTAACCATTTCTTATCGTGCAAGAAATTCTCAACCTATGACCCTAAAAATGCCATTTTAATGGGAAAATGTATTATTTTCTGTGTCAGATGTTGTTCAAGTCAATGGATAATAGAATAGTTCATGACCTTGCATTGCTCGGGATGAGTTTTGCAGCAATACTAGAATTTGTGTATGTATCAGAATGTGTCCTGGAAAAAAATATATACCAATATTTCCATTTTAGATCACAACCTTCACCTAAAATGTAACAATTATATTTATAATGCATATTATGCATATATGGGGGAGATGTATCAAGGCAAAATAGGTGATAGTCTGCATACAAAGTTTATTGCTCCAATCTTTAGGGTTCCAAAGTTTATTGCTCCAATCTTTAGGGTTCCGAAGTTTATTGCTCCAATCTTTAGGTTTCCAAAGTTTATTGCTCCAATCTTTAGGATCCAAAGTTTATTGTTCCAATCTTTAGGATCCAAAGTTTATTGTTCCAGTCTTTGGGATCCAAAGTTTATTGCTCCAATCTTTAGGTTTCCAAAGTTTATTGCTCCAATCTTTAGGGTTCCAAAGTTTATTGCTCCAATCTTTAGGATCCAAAGTTTATTGCTCCAATCTTTAGGGTTCCAAAGTTTATTGCTCCAATCTTTAGGTTTCCAAAGTTTATTGCTCCAATCTTTAGGATCCAAAGTTTATTGTTCCAATCTTTAGGGTTCCAAAGATTATTGCTTCAATCTTTAGGGTTCCAAAGATTATTGCTCCAATCTTTGGGGTCCAAAGTTTATTGCTCCAATCTTTGGGGTCCAAAGTTTATTGCTCCAGTCATTGGGATCCAAAGTGTATTGCTCCAATCTTTAGGATCCAAAGTGTATTGCTCCAGTCATTGGGTTCCAAAGATTATTGCTCCTTATTTTACACTTGGCCCCAGAATAGCACCTGTTTTTGCCTTGCTAAATCTCCCGGTATTTTGTTTTACTGTTAGAGATCCAGTCACCATACTTAGAGTTAGAACCATACGGAGGAATATATTATCACTCTATCCATATAAATGACAGCATCCTAAGATTTATTTTCCTGCACAATATTGTGGATCACTAAAAAGCACATTAAACATAATGTATTTTTCCTAATTTTCTAGAATTTCCATAATGTCGAAGCTCTTTTCTGCATTTTCAGTATAAATTTTCTAATACAGGTTATCTCTCCTATTCCTGCTAACAGGGCCACCATCAGGGGGTGATAACCATGACGGTTGTCACAGGCACAGCGTTCCTGGGGAGCCCGGACTGCTCTGAGTGTTCCGGGCCCCACATTCCCTATGTGCACATATATATATATATATATATATAAAAAAAATATAAATTAATGGTTGCACTCACGGTTTTTCCAAGTAAAAGTCCAAAGTTTATTGTCAATTCATAAAAACTGCGATCAACGTTTCAGTCCTACCAAGAGGACTTTCATAATGATCCTGATGAAAGTCCTCTTGGTAGGACTGAAACGTTGATCGCAGTTTTTATGAATTGACAATAAACTTTGGACTTTTACTTGGAAAAACCGTGAGTGCAACCATTAATTTATATTTTTTGTATTTTTTGGCTATATATGGTTGGCACCCGGTCGTGAAGGGAAATTCAGCGTGAGTGCAGGAATTAATTTCTATTTTTATATATATATATATATATATATATATATAGCGACTATCGCTATAAATATGTACTGCTGCAGGCCCCCGGCTGCGTGTATACCACAGAGGGGCCAAGCACACACCGTCTGCACATTGCAGCTCCTCTCTCTCAAACTGCGAGACCCGCGGCCGACAGAGTGTTGCCACGGGTTACCATGGCAATGCCCCACATGGCATGCAAGCCATGCTTGCAAGAGTTAATGAGAGAGGTACCCCTCTGTGGTATACAGGCAGCTGCTGGCCCCACCATTCCACTGGATCACTAGGGAATGGAATCTCCCTCTCCTTGGCCACAGGTAAGAAGCAGAGAGGAGGGAATAACATTTATTAAAATGAATGTGTGCACAACATTTACACAAACTGCACACACTAGTACAACACACACTCTGCATTCACTATACTGACACACACTCTGCATTCACTACACACATTCTGCATTCACTATATACACAACATCCACTACAAACATTCTGCAATCAATACACTAACACACACTCTTCATTCACTACACTAACACAGACTCTGTATTCATTACACTGACACACACTCTTCATTCACTACACTGACACACACTATGCATTCACTACACTAACACACATTATGCATTTACTACATAAACACACACTCTGCATTCACTATACTAACACAGACTCTGCATTCACTACACTAACAAACACTATGCATTCACTACACTGACACACACTCTCCATTCACTACACTGACACACATTATGCATTCACTACACTAACACACACTATATTCACTATACACAGACACTGCATCCACTACCCACTCTGCATTCACTATACACACACTACATACACTACACAAACACACACTTTGCATTCACTATATACACAACATCCACTACAAACATTTTGCAATCACTACACTAACACACACTCTTCATTCACTACACTGACACACACTCTGTATTTACTACACTAAGACAGAAGTTGTATTCATTACACCGACACACACTCTTCATTCACTACACTGACACACACTATGCATTCACTACACTAACACACACTCTTCATTCACTACACTGCCACACACTCTGTATTTACTACACTAACACAGACGTTGTATTCATTACACTGACACACACTCTTCATTCACTACACTAACACATACTCTGCATCCCCTATACTAACACATACTCTGCATTCACTACACTAACACAGACTCTGCATTCACTACACTAACACACATTATGCATTTACTACACTAACACACACTCTGCATCCCCTATACTAACACGTACTCTGCATTCACTACACTAACACACACTTTGAATTCACTACACTAACACACATTATGCATTTACTACACAAACACACACTCTGCATCCGCTATACTAACACAGACTCTGCATTCACTACACTAACACAGACTCTGCATTCACTACACTAACAAACACTATGCATTCACTACACTAACACACACTCTTCATTCACTACACTGCCACACACTCTGTATTTACTACACTAACACAGACGTTGTATTCATTACACTGACACACACTCTTCATTCACTACACTAACACACACTCTGCATCCCCTATACTAACACATACTCTGCATTCACTACACTAACACAGACTCTGCATTCACTACACTAACACAGACTCTGCATTCACTACACTAACAAACACTATGCATTCACTACACTAACACACACTCTTCATTCACTACACTGCCACACACTCTGTATTTACTACACTAACACAGACGTTGTATTCATTACACTGACACACACTCTTCATTCACTACACTAACACACACTCTGCATCCCCTATACTAACACATACTCTGCATTCACTACACTAACACAGACTCTGCATTCACTACACTAACACACATTATGCATTTACTACACTAACACACACTCTGTATCCCCTATACTAACACGTACTCTGCATTCACTACACTAACACACACTTTGAATTCACTACACTAACACACATTATGCATTTACTACACAAACACACACTCTGCATCCACTATACTAACACAGACTCTGCATTCACTACACTAACAAACACTATGCATTCACTACACTGACGCACACTCTGCATTCACTACACTGACACACATTATGCATTCACTGCACTAACACACACTTTGCATTCACTATACACAGACACTGCATCCACTACCCACTCTGCATTCACTATACACACACTACATACACTACACAAACACACACTTTGCATTCACTATACACAGACACTGCATCCACTACCCACTCTGCATTCACTATACACTCACTACACTACACACACACTCTGCATCCGCTGCACACACTATATCTAACACACACACAAACACTACATCCATTACACAAATGTAAAATCTGCACGGTTTTCCAGTTCAGCAACATTGGCCAAAACCAATATTAAATTGTGTGGGGTCCATCCCCAGGTTACAGAATGACCATGTGAAGGGATTCTAGCCTGAGGAACTGTTAGTGGAATTCTATTGCTAAAAACGTAATTAAAGATAACTGAAAACCAATTTGCAATTTGTTAGTCTCAGACTGTGTTTTTACCCTAAATTTGATCGGTTCTCTACAGTTTGGTGTCCAGTGAATAAATTCCAGTGTATTTGGATTTACATTTTCCAGTTTCAGCCCAAATTTGACCCTTACTCACATTTTGTGAATAGCCTAAGATAACAATATTTGTGAATGTGCATCTCTGGGTTATTCTTGGGATAATCTGACCCTTTGTGGATAAATAATTCTCTAAAGCTAATCTCAGAATTTATGGCAATGTTTAACCGCTTCAGGACTGGGGTAGACAAATCCTTTGTTATACAGAGAGCCCTGTCATGTTAGTGGTTTTGAAAGTGTTAATCAGGCCCTGGAAAGCCTCTGCGTGAGCCTGGCCCTATCTGTTCCAAAAATATATCTATGTGTTTTAGATAGCAGTTAAATACTGACAGAAGGCACAATTCTATTATAGAAGATATTATTTAACTAGTTGTGCTTCCAGAATTTAATGAATTTCTTCTTATTAACTGTCACCTAAAAAGCATTTTCATTGTATTCATAATGTACATGGACTTAATTTCCACTAACATGCACACAGAAAAACACACTCACCTAAATGCCACACATAATTTTAACATAAATACATTTCACACTTATTAATTACATATTAGAATGATCAAATTGCAATACACACTAAACTAAGTTTATGGTAATGAACTTATTAACCAGTGAATTGCTGTGAACTGAAAACCACATTGTAAATGTAAAATGTCCTTGTTTGAAAAAAAATGCAAAAGCAGATCATTTTTCCAACATGCACCTTGTGTCCAACATTGTTTGAAAACCATCAGTTAGCCTCTATGATCTTCCCTTCTTTACTCTCTGCATAGAATCAGGGAAAAAGGCTAATTTGTTTTCAAACACTGTCTGAACCAAGACGCATGTACATGGCTGAATATACTACTGGCAGTTATCAGTTTTTGTGGTTTTTTTTGTTTGCTTTTTTTACATATACTTTACTTTAAAAAACAAATAAAAAACTATTTCCTTTCAAATTTAGTAAAATGATTATAATATGAAAAATCCTTTTGAGGTGACTGTTGTCCAGAGAACTGCAATGTTTACATTGCAGCTCTAATCTGCCCTCAGTGGGGCAGTCACTGGGGGCGCTTCCAGAATCAAAACAGACCTTTGGTCTTTTATCTGACACTGTACATCCTCACGCTCTGCATGAGGACTAGAGATGTGTATGGGCAAACAATTTGGTTTGGTTCGGCACGTCTGAAATTCGGGACTTCGGCAAGTCGGCACTTCGGTTCGGCACTTCCAAAATTCTGGACTTCAGCAATTCAGGACTTCTGCACTTTGGCAATTTGGCACTTTGGCAATTCGGCAATTCAGGACTTCAGCAATTCCCTAACCATACCCTTACCCCTAAAACTACCCCTAACCACCACAACCACTTACACATCTAGGGTTAAAGTTAGGGGTTAGGTGTAGAGTTAGGGGTTAAGGGTAGGGTTAGGGTTAGATTCATGTCATTATTCCCATAGTATTTCCTCCCTCTCCTGTTTTGCCACTTTTCAGAAATCCGAAGCATTTCGGCACTTCCGAAATTCGGCACTTCGGCAATTCGGTTCGGCACTTCCGAAATTTGGCACTTCAGACATTCAGGCATTCGAAAGCATCCGAATGTCCGAATTTACATTCGGAATGAAACAAATTGCACATGTATAATGAGGACCTCCACTGTCAGATTTTCCCCATGGGAAAACATTGAATAATGCTTTCCTATGGGGAGGTCTAATGCGCCCGTGGCCATTGCCGCCCATGCACATTAGGTCTTCCAAGTTGACAGGGGAGGTGTGTGTGTGGAGCTTGACCCAGCACCGATGGATATCGGCGCTGGATCAGGTAAGTGGCTGAAAGAGTTTTAACCCCCTCAAACCTGCAAGGGAGGGGGGTGGGGGGGGATGGTGGCACCTATTAAACCTATAGTGCCAGGAAAACGGCTTTGTTTTCCTGGCACTATAGGATCCTTTTAAGGCTTTGAAGTGTGCTTTATGCTTTCAACGTAATGCCACATAGCCAACATATATGTTTCATTATAGGAAAACTCGCTATCACGTCTAGTAAAATTTTGCTCTAACTAAGGAAACAATTGCTACATGTTAATAATAGTAGCATTAGGCACTTTCATAAAGGCTGGTAAAAAAAAAAGTAGGCTCAGATGTGGGAACGAGCCCGTGGTGTGGCATTGTTACTTGAAACACATGGTAAAGTTTCAGTTCCACCAAGCCTAAATCAAGTAGTTTATAGAGGGATCTGAATTGGTAACTCCATCCATGATAATCAGGTCAGGACCTAGTTAGTGAGACAAAAGGCAACACCTGACTTATACAGAACAAGATATCAATGAGTTGACTTTTCAAATCTGGAAAATATGCTGATGTGGATTATTTACACTGATTTTTTATTACTAAACGGAGCAGTTTGAAAAAAGCAGGGATCTCCTGGTACAAATCCCCTCTGCTGATGTAAAGATAACAAGGTAGAAAATAAAACAATATGTGGGTCAAGTAATACAAAAAAAAAAACATAAAAGAAGTGGGCTGCTTCACACTTAGAATGAGCGTTTGTCTTACGGTAAATAAAAAAATATAAAATAAAGTGTGAGCGCGCCTTATATAAATCAAGAATAAAATCCGTACAAGAAATATATTTTTATTATATTAATAATAGAAAAACAGATTTAAAAAACACACACACAAGCTGCTCCACAGGTATTTATTCAAACACACTATACAAGTCAGATACACATAGCAACATCCAAGTCAGCAATGCCCGAAAAACAACTACAGCCTACAATGTTGCAATGTAAAAAATGTATCAGAGAAGTATAAATAGATACACAACTAGTAAGTAACAAAGTGTGTTACCTAAGCCACAAACCTATACCCTAACCAAGATAGTATAAGGGTATGTCAACAACACTGGTAAATAAATATAATGTGACATCCTATAAATATATGGGAAATTAAAAAAAACACCATATATAATAAGTATATATAATGTAATAGACAACCCTGTATATATATATATAAATAAATAAATAAAACAATAGATAATCTTAACAACTGTCATCTGCATTCTGTAAACCATTGTATGACACTGCGCTGTCACGTACATAAATGTAACCACTTACATGTTTACCATCTGCTTCGTCAAACCAAAAATAAAGAATTAAAAAAACAAAAAAAACAATAGATAATCTTATCGGAGTACTTTTCGCTGGGGGGCCCCTCCACGAATCCGGATAATGTAAAAGACTAAAGAGATAAAACACAGGGGGATCGGTGAAGGATGCTAAGATGCCCAGTGAGCTCAACCCAAAGTTGTCTTAGTCAGGTGGCACAGGTGCTCTCTGTTCACAGATATAGTGAGCCGTGCTGTCCTTCATACACCCACTGAGTTCTGTCACCGTGTGTGTAAAGATAACAAGGAATTTCACTTCCACATTGTAAAACAGAGATATAAACTGAACGCACAATTCAGATCCATGGCCATAAAGATATTGTCAGCCCCACAAATCCCTGTCCTCCTCCCCCCCTTCTGAAAAATTTGTGTTTCATAAATGTAGAATCTGTATAAAATATTCATTTTGACTGTGTTGGAATTTCACAGAAATACTTTGTCTCTATATCTTTCCTATGTGTGACACTTCAGACACTGGATGGAGCTACAGCTGTCTTTAAGTGTCAATCCCCCCAGCCGTCACTAGTGACGACTGCAGGGAATTGGCTATGTCTATGGAGGGTCTTGTTGGATCATCCATAGACCTCAATCTTGTATTCTCACACTTAATATTCACCTTTACCTGCCACCCAGCCACCGGAACCCCCATTGGGGGTTCAAAATCTAGAAAGTCTGCAGACGGTGACAGTGGCACTTTCAGGTTAGAAAAGAGGCTGCGTCATGGAAATATTGGGGGGAGGGGGGGCTATAATCCATGTCTCAGCCAGCTGTATCTAGAGAATGCAATACACAAGATCCAGCGCACTCACTCATCCACTAAACAGCATCTTCAAAACTCTCCGATTTTATCAGTTGTTTTTTTTAAACACCTAGTCTAGACTAAAATAATGTACCCCATTTTTGGCAGGTCCTACTTTCACAGCTTAATGTATGCTCTTATGAGGATTAACCCACTTACTTGGGAGAAAATTTCCACCTGGGGCTCTCTGCAGTACAAGGTTAAATAGGGCCATGGGATGGCACCTGTGACAGGGAGGGGTGCAACACCAAGGAGTTGGCCTGACTCCCAAATATGTATATATATGAAAACTAATAACATTTTTGAGCTTTGAAGTTGCTGTTTAGTGGATGAGTGAGTGCGCTGCATTTGTGTATTGTATAAATTGGCCCTAGCAGCACCCCATTTATGCATATTTAGGTGAGTGCATTCCCCTGTTTTCTTATCTATAGAATGTAACACTTTTCCCCCCAATAATGTTTTCAATTAGTATTAGAAATACACAGGCAACACCATAACCACTACAAATGTATGAATGTGGTTATGGTATATGGCGTCTTTGGAAGCACCTCCTTTGGGTTTTGTTAAACCATATGTGAGGGCTCTTGTGCAGCCCAAAACCTAGCCCCTCTCCTGGTATATATTCAGATAATCAGGAATATCCCTTTGTCATTATCTGTATAAAGTTGTACAGTAATGATGGGCTGTTAGTCCTGGTTTAAGCTGCTACCAATTCTCACAGTTTATCATTGGTATCTAAATTTGGTGGGTTAATTTTAACAGGACATTCCGCAATAGCTAGATGGCCACAAGAGTGAAAGACTTGATTTATGTCAAACATCTTGAAAATAGTATTATGAAATCCAGATGAACTGACTTCTGGTACTATAACCACCAATATGAACTATAGGGGTTTGGTGATTACATTGTCTTTTAAAGACAACAGGAAATTTTAGACTAACTTTATAAAATAAAATTTTCAGACCCCATCTTGACCAGTTTTATTCATTTGGTTTTGAGCTTTGTGCAGTTTTATTGGAGGGGAGAATTGGGCTTATTCTGGAGATAAAGTTTTAGAAAATGTGTGTCCTTAGGTAGTTCATGTCCTGGAGGCATTTACATAGTATACAAGTGATAATTATCACAGAACAATCACTTTCCTGGGCTTGTTCACACTTATTGATTTACTGCTGTTCTTTTACTTGTTCCCCCACTGAGAGATAAACTCATTTGCAATTGAAAGGGGTGTGGTAAGAGGGGTTTTGGTGAGATTTAAATAGTTGGGGGTAAAGCCTTCCAAAGCTCACTGGTATCAACTACTATAAGACGTTAGGGGTCTCTCTAGCAAGGTTCATTGGGCATATTTCTAAAGGATAAGAAGAAAAGTGCAGGTGTGGATGTAAAGAGCCTCCATTTTTTGGAAAACAGGAAATTAGGACAAGGATGCAGTGACTACATTTTGACATTCAACATCTTCTGTAGCTCCTGTGATATATGCATATGTGTATCTATGACAACAGCACAAGACCATCCCACAAGGACCTCCTTTATTTCATTTGTTCAGTGAACTAGTGTCATTCTCTTACTTCATTATAAGAGTTGTCCACTTGACAGTGAAATTGGGCTCACTGGGATCTAGACAAGTGGGCTGTACAGATGGAATCCACAATGTGCATACTCCTGGTTTGTTTTCATATCCTAGTGGTTTCTGGGCCAGTGAATACATTCCATTTGCCTCTAAATGAGGAAAAGAATTCAGAGATGACAGTGAAGGCCATCCAAAGACTACAGGAAGTGTTTGCTTTTGAAGAGATCCATCATGATATTCCACCACAGAAGAAACCCCCTCGATTCATGCTGGACTTGTACAACCAAGTGGCAGATTCTGATGGCATAACCAAAGCACCAGGTCTACTGCAAGGGAACGTAGTCAGGAGCTTTGAGAGCAAAGGTAAGGAGGCATTGGTGCCTATATTATATTAATATATGTTACCTCATATACAAATCATAAGTAGAACAATTCTTAAAGAAATTAATTTACTTTAGAAGTAGTATTCCACATTTGGAGACACGTCCACACTGGGACATTTACTGAGATGTTACTCAAGGTAGCGGTCAAATGTGGACTTAAAAATAAACTGGATTGTACCTACAATTTAAGAAATAACATTTCTTAAAGCTCTTTGAGAGCTCTAAGCTTATATTTATTTATTTTAGTAATTAGAAAAGAGTTTCAGGCATTTTATGTTTGTTTTATTTATGTCACACATTGGGTGTGTTTGTGTGTGCATGTATGCTGATGGTAATGTACACTAAGGTGTAATATGTTTGTACAGTTCCAAAGAGGAATTCACTAACTTACAAAGGGGTCAATGTGACATCTCATTGTAATACAATACTAAAAAACAAATGTAAAAAGTAAATCCCAACCCATGGAAGTTTTCCTTGTCATTGAAACCCATATCAGATTTAAGGAACAAACATTTTAAGAGATCGTGTTTAAGAAGGATAACATAGAATGTAACAGGCAGTAACACAACATAATGAGCTATTTCTGTTTTGTTGGGGGCTGGGGGGGGATTGTCCATTAGTATGTGGAAAACCTTATTTGTCTTATCTTGCATTTAAATTTTAATTCTCGAATCACAACCCACTAGTACTGTTTCAGAATCTTCTTTAGAAGAACATTCAGGCAGACCATCTAAATTCTGTGACTCAAAAAACATAATTTCTGTACATCTATTGCATTGAAATATTTAAGAAAGAATCACATTTTGTGTGTTTGTTTTTTCCCCCCCTTTATTTACAGCCTCTATTATAGAGGCTGTAAATGCACATTAAAGGTGTAACATGCACATTAAAGGGTCCTGGACATCACACCACTTTTGATTGCCAGTTGCCTTAGCATTTCTTATGGCTTTAAGATGACAGACTATTAACCTTGTTTAAGCCTCATTATGTCATAATATTTCACCTCTCTTACTACTCTCCATTTGCAGTGAATGCTGATCCTGAACATCCTTACTTCTTCAACATCTCATCGGTGGGGACCAACGAGAAGGTGCTAAAGGCTGAACTTCGCATTTTTAAGTGGAAGCCTCTTGCAATGGTTGCAAAGCACCATTTCTGTAGGGTAAGTATTGATATTGCTTTCTAAATACTATATGTTGATCTAACAATCCAGGAGGCCAAATCACACTAGTTCACGTAGATTAAAGGCAAATTTTAAGTGGTGGGCTTCAACCAGTGTGCTATGGCACATGCCAAGTCACCATAAAGTGTGCCATAAACATAAGGACTTCAGGCCTGTGACATGCTGTAAGCAGTTATTCCTTTAATTTCACCCCTTAGGGCCTTTAAAACACCACAAATGTGTCTCTATATTCACATAAATGACCAAGTCCAGCAGGAACAAGCACACATCACCTCTTTGCAGTTTTTTTATGCTTTTTGTATGTTCAGTACGTTTTCAAGGTCTACAGTACTAAAAGTACTGCACAAACAATACAAGAAAAAAAAAGAACACAGAGACGTGATATATGCTTGGGCATTCATATGCGTATGAAGGTAAAACCACTTTCTAATGTTTTAAAGATCCTAAGCAGTGAAATTAAAATAGTTTATTGTTTTATATGCTGTGTCCTTCTGCTATGGTGAGAGCCTATCTTTGCTTAGTCTTGGTCCTAAAAAAAAAATAATGAGATTTTCATAAAGAAAGAATCTTTATGAAATACTCTAATGACTGTGTTGAAATTTCACTGACATTTCAACCCAGTCAAGAGATATGCTGAGACACTTCTAGACACTGGGCTTGGAATTGGCCAGGAGAATATGGTGGTGTCCATGAGAAACAGTTTCAGGTAAGTGACAATTTCAATGTCGGGGGTCTTTGCAAATTCTGGAAAGTCCCCAGATGATGACAGTGCAGCTTTCACTGTGAGATTTACTAAGCTTTAGAAAACAAATGGATTTATACACAAAACACCAACTTTAAGGAAATTGAAACCCAAAAAGAAAAATCTAGTCACATTTTGTCTATTTGAATCTAAATTTTGTTTTGTAAATCATTACAATTTAGTGTTTAAAGAATAAACCCCAAATTGTTTAAGGGAAAATGCCTTTTATTTCATGTAGACAGTCATGTTCATCATCTGCTACATTTGATCATCAACAATTCATTTAGATTCAATGAGACATAATATATGGATAATACCTTGCAATATCTATGCAAAAATAATAAATCACAACGAATAAAAAAAATACACAGATACAAAGTTTCTGCAAAACATTATTCTTTGCAGCTTCTGCAGTGTCACTAAACCATAAATGTAATAAATCATGATGCGTGCATAACTTTCTATATCACCCCTGTGCGTATCCAACAGGTAGTGAATTATGGACACGGCATTCATTGCTACATTTAGTTGTCATTTAGTTGTCAGATTTCTGCTGTAAAAAATGCATGACATCATGTACAGATAACTTTTTTTTTTAACAGAAAGGGAAACACTGTATGGAATCTGGAAACAATGATATAGTTGTCTAATCATACATTGTTGAATGTACTGAGAAACATTATTACTGTATAACACAATTTCTACAGTTTTGCTTGAATTATATGTAATCCAACTATTATGTCCATGTGTTGGTACCTGCGTGTACCCCATACCATTGGCTATTGTTATTATCCTCAATTAAACTCTGATTAAAGATAAGTTTCTTTAAAAAGAAAAAGGCAAACATCTCACATTAGTAGGTTAGCAGGAAAAAAAACAGAGAAAACGAATTAGATAACAAATACAAAGATTAAGAGTAAAAAAAAAAAAACATTGAGAAGAAAAAAATAACTGTGACATAACCTGTGCATTACTTTGTCATGCGGAGGTTCCTGGAGGACCCTTTTAAATGATAAGAAACAAACACGTGGTCTGCTACATATTTCTGTCCCATAGTTTCCACTAGGGTGTGTGTCTATATATGTTTGTATAGATACATTAATATATATATATATATTAGACGAAATGAGTATGTTCTGTAATGCTGCCTTTAAATTGATCACTATTATGGGAAAATTGAAGAAATGGCAGGGATTTCCTTTAGATTTTATGTTTATTGTATTTTTTAGCAGGTGCACCACTATAAATGAAACTCCTTCAAAAGTAAAAAATCTAAATGTTTGTATTTGTCTGATCTATTTTCTGCTTCTTTTTAAAATCTCTATATCTAGGTGGATCTGTATGAGCTTTTTGACAGTGCCTCAACACCCTGGAGAGGGAACTTGATTGCCTCCCGTCTTCTACCCCTGCACTTCCAGGGCTGGGAGATGTTCAATGTCACTCTGACAGTAAGTGTTATCTTTGTGGTTTTTTGTAAGGGATTTTCTGATTGACTCATAAGTCCATTCTGTTGACTCTTTGCTGGTTCCCCTATAGTTCTCAAGTTTCAAGTTAACATATTTGTGTAAGCTACCATTTTGCAGTGCGGTCTCGAACACTATTTACTACTTTAAATCCCATTATTATTATTATTATTGGCATTTATATAGTGCAAACATACTCTGTAATTGCACTTTACAATAATAGAAAGGGGATATTCAGAGGTGAAGAAGACCATGCTCATAAAAGTTTTCAATCTATGAGGATTATGATTACTTCTTGGTTGTAGCATTGAAATAATGTAGCTTCAGCACACATGGTCAGGGAGAGGTGTATTTGTGTTAGTACTACCATAACATAGGCAACTTTTCTGTCCATAGTTACTTTTCCAAGCCTGATCTGCATATCCGTAAATTGATTTACCACCATGTGACGAAAAAAGTGGGTGTAGTATAAGACACATCGCTATTAGGGTTATTCACTTAAATGTAAACTGTTGGGAATTCAAAGTGAATTTCAAAATTTAAGATAAAATAGCCAAAAATGTGACGTTCTCCAAGTCAGATTTTTTTTCTTTTATTATTTATTTTCCTCTCAATTTGGCAATTTTGGCTTAAAATTTAAAGTTGACTTTGAATGACATTGAATTTCTGACTTTTGACAACTAATTGAATATTCATGTTTGCACTCCATATGTAAGTAAAGGAAAATATTGGAGGAAATAGTTTGCATATAGCATTTGTACAGAATTCAAATAAGGAAATTGTTAAAGTGTATATTCTACAATAATGAATTCAACAACATGATGTTCTGCCACCTATAAGCATTGTTTAAGATGTGGTGGGTTTTATAAAAAAGCTGCATTCACAATGACCTTGTGTGATGGGGACATTTTCTGTTGTAGTCACAATTCAGTTAGTGTTAGCCCTTTTGTATAGTATGATAGTATGGTTAAGGGTACTGTATAGTAATATAATTATAGCTTATATTCAGAAGATAAATTGGAGGGAAATTAGGGGGTGCGAGTTCATAGGTTAAAATTATTTGTCCCAATAATACAAAAATATATATATTAATATTTTTGTGTTATTTTTTATGTATTTGTAAGTATATGCCAAAGTGTAACAGAATGATTAAGCTACATTTTACAGTTATAAAAATGTATATATTTTTAACATAGGTTGAAAAAAAGACTCCGTCTTTGAAATTCAGTCTTTCTCATATCTGTTTTTTTCAAAATTAGGCAAATAAACACCCAATTTGAATTAATTTTCAGTTTCGCAAAAAAAAACCAAAAAAAAAACCTACTTAACTCCAAACGTGGCTGTGAGATTTCTCTATGAATTAACAATTTGAGAAGAGCCTTCAGAAGCTCATTGCACCATAACCACTACAAAACATATAGTAGTTATGGTTCTTAAAATGACCCTTTAATGAGGAAACCATTCAGCATGCTCTCTTACTGTACAACAGTAACACAACACTGTACAAACACCTTATCTTCGTTTAACATATACAACTATCTCGCAACTTGAAAAAGAAGCAACTAAAACCCTTACATCATGCGTATTTATCAGCATTTATGTATGTGATCTGATTTTGGTTAGTTATAATTAGTTAACCAATAAGAAGAATGATGAGTATATTTAGCACTTTGGATAACGCAGTGACATCTTGATTTTCTTTCTCCCAGGTCTCTAAGTGGGTTGGTGAAAGCAATATGAACCATGGTTTCCTTGTTACATACATTCTACCTTCTGGGAAATACATGGAGACAGTCCTAGGACAGAAGAAGCATCAGTCAGTAATCAGGAGGTCCTATCTTGTCCTCCATAGTGATGATGGAAGGGGGGGAGTCACAAAGAGTGAAACGTTCCATTACAATATAAAGGACCAAGGTAAGAGGATATACCGATTTCTACAAATTAATTCATTATTTGAATTAGCCAACTGGCAAATGTACTTTTTACTGATATATGAAAAAAGTGTTTGGTTTTTGTTATCTATGTTATGTATGTATTTACATGTAAGATCTTCTTCCACTCTAAGCATACTCCAAGCACTAATTGCACTAGTTAGAGTTTTACTTTGTACTCATGCTGTATTTTTATCCACATGCAAAGTTCACACTAATCTGAGTACATTGTGTACTGAGAGTACATCTAATATGGAAGGTTTTTTTTTGTTTGTTTTTTTATAATTCTTTATTTTTAATGTGTAAAGCTTCCACACATTTTGATAATACAGATAAACACAAGTCAAATCACAATGAAGTACAATAAACATTGCAAAGAAAAAATAGAAGTAAAAATAAGGGTTCTGAGGGGTGACCAATAAAGCATAGTTAGTGTCACCAGCCATGCTACACTCATGCCCTGATCTATTCAGATACATTTTTTCTCCTGTGTGGCTGCACAGTGTACTAACTTATTCCGTGGAAGGTGCAGAGTTGCCCACCATTGGAGCCCTTTGCTATGGGTATCATCGCAGCAAGCAGACACGAATCAAGTGCATTCATCCACACCTCCCTTTCAGTCGCTCGTGATCCCCTTCACCTCATTAAGCTTTCCCACTGCCTGAGTATCTCTGTGTAGGGAGTCCCATGATGTGGCTAAAGTCATGTATCCTGATCTAACACCAACAAACTTACTTGCTGTCTCCCATACACACCCGCACCCCCTCTCTCATCCTCTAACTTTCCCCGACAGGGTAGGGAATTAGTCGGCATATATAATTAGCGATGATCAACCAAAGTAATAACTATCAAAAATGGCAAACTGTAATAGTCAAGGTGGCTTGTGGTCAAACAAAAGGGCATGGAATAGATCTGTAAACCCCTAGTTGGCCTTTACACACCCTGAGATACACCTAATTGGGTAGAGTGATTTAGGGTGGGGATCCCAAACCCTACCCTGGACCCCTATCTCCAAACTGAAGCTCTTATCTGTTGGGTCCACCCCTGCCTTCAAGGGCACCAGAGGTGGAATCTGCAAGGTTCTCAGGAGCTGTTGGATCTTCCTCCACCGATATTGTTAGCACTGAATCTGTATGGGGTACCACTAAAGTTCCCAATACTCCCCACCGATATCTGACACTGTGTTCCCTCAGCAACCTGGTAACAGGCATGAATCTTCGTCTGTCCAACAGGACAGAGAACAGCAGATCATCATAAATCTTGATGGTACAGTCAGATGGTACGGTTGGGTGGTTCCTGGAGTGAACTAGGATGGCTGCCTTAACAGAAACATCTCGAGTAACATCTCTTGAGTAACATGACATCTCTTGGTGCGTCCGCTGGGGTGATTGGGACCTTCCAAATACGGAATACCGATGCTATTGGTAAAGCTCCGTTGACTCCTTTCACCCCCAGTACTTCAGCCACCTTGTTGGAGAAGTCGAACAGAGCCTCCGGGCCCACATCTTCCAGTACCACTCGTATCCTAATGATTTTCTGTTGATGTCGCCCTTCGAGTGAAGCTACTGTGCGGGTAAGTTGTTGGACCTCCAGGGAGATTGTTGTCATCTGGGAACGGGTCTCTGTTAACTGACACTCCCGTTCTTCTTCACGGGAACTCTTCGGGTTCTGCTGCCTATCTCTGCTTGCACACCTGTCAGGTCTGCTCTCCAGCCTGCACGGAGGTCTAGTAGGAGCTTCTTAATGTCTCCTTTTGTTGATGGAGATGTGTCATTATCCGAGTCCATTCTCCAATATATACCACTTGGAGCCCTCAAGGCAGTAGACCTCTCTTCCCCCTGAGAGTCCTCAGACTCCCTGGAGCCTCATGGTCTCCCATGCGCAATCTTGTACTCGGCCTGCTGCTGCTGCCTATCGAAGGACCTGCAGATGTCTGATAGTAGGGAGTTCTTTGCTTGGGCTATTTTCTTGTGTTTGCACCCCATGGCACTTTAGGGGGGTCTAGAATGCTGTTCTAGCTGGTAATTCTTGTCAATTACGTGGCTTTACAGTCAATTAGATAACTATATAGCTGGAGCTCTTCTTAGACACGCCTGGTCTGTTTCACAGCTAGCAACGCCCCTCAAGGAAGTTGTTTTTAAAAAAAGAGTAAGCCTGGCTAAGGGGGTGTGGTTATAGCTGTAATTTCTATTTTTGTATTTTATTTTTTTTCAAAACTAGAGATTTGAAGAGAGAAAATCACAGAATTAATGCCAAATAAGATTATATTAGATTCATCTTTATTATTACTGTGTACTGTACATACAAAGACAATGAAACATAATTGGCCTCCTATCAGAAATACAGTAGTGATTGATAAAATATACAATAAAATAAAAGATGTAAACTTTAGCGATCTTACAAAATAGCATAATACATCTAATACCTAAGAAATAAAATCCAGTCCAATATATATAATATATATATTTAGGATAAATTGGCCTATTCTATGGCCATGGGCCTGGCACTGCAGCTCCACTAGTCCCTATGTTAATTTGGCTCTATATCAATGCACGCCCGGCACTATAACCACTACAGTAATCTGATACTTGGTGTGTTCCTTTAACAGCACAATCCTTCAAATTCAGTGATCCTTTTATTAAGGTGCCAAACTAAAAGGTGACAGTTCAGCCACACAAAGGTCTTTATCATACCGAACACACACACAAATAACACATAAATAGACACTTAATTATACAAAGGGGTGGAGCATCACCCTAAAAACAATGATTGACATGTAGTTAACAAACTGCATGTATTTAATCAAGCAGTGGAGAATTACACTCAAAACAATGTTTAACATGTAGTTAACAAAGTGCATAAATACATCAAGGGGTGGAACATCACCCTCAAAACAATGATTGACATATAGTTAGTAAACAGCATACTAAATCATGTGCTTTGACACGAGACAGGTCATGTGGTGAAGTGAAAAACAAATATAAGTGAAAAAAGACATGAAAGGCTAAAAACATAATAATAATAACAAAATATTTAACCAGGAAAGATTCATTCAGATTACTCTGGTTTTCAAGTACGTCCTGGTGATGTTACCTTAGCCCAACATCCAGGGGTTGTTACTAACATATCTAAAATGAAGTGCTAAAAGTGTCTAAAATACAATAGCAATAGTGCAATATAATAATTCTTGTTACATAATCACTGATTTAAAATATATATATACGCATTGTTTCAAATTACCAAAACATAAAATATTTAATCTAACATGATACAAAAATAAAGAATTGTATAAACCAATGGAATTGGCAAATCATCTGATACACAAAATACATACATTTTGAATTATTTAAATTGCACTTGATTCCCAGTACAACCATGATTGGCAAGCTTTCTGGTGACATCCCTGTGACCACACCTCTAGAAATATAATTATAATAAATATTAGAGAAATATACTCATATCATAATCTCTATTCATTCCATAAGGCTCAAAACAATTCAATTATTTCATCCAAAACTGCTCTCTTTTCTTTAGAGCATTCACCTGAGACTTGTGAAAAACAGATTTGATCACCTCTCCCTAATCAATCTTCCTGGCATGGTCTAATTAGTCATTGCTCTCTTTATTTCTACAGATGCACCTCTTCTAACGTCAGAGACTCAGTCTATCATGCCACCACAACTGAACAGGTTTACGAATGGAGCTAACCAACAAAAGATTCGTCATATCAGAGAAGTTGTTGAAGACACAGACCCACCATGCAAACGCAAGCCCATGTACGTGGACTTTGAAGAGATAGGATGGGATGCATGGATTATATCTCCAAAAGGATATAATGCCTACTTCTGTAAGGGTACTTGTTCCTTCCCTCTTGGGCAGGATATGGGAGCTACCAACCATGCTTCTGTGCAATCAATTGTCCACATTCTCAAACTCAATAAGGACGTTAGCAAACCATGCTGTGTCCCAAATAAACTCACCTCCATAAACTTACTTTACTTTAATGAAGAAGAGAATGTTGTTCTTAAACAGTATAATGATATGGTGGCAGTAAGCTGTGGATGTCTTTAAATGCCCCGCGTCATGCCATAAACCTGTAGATACTCAATTTTAACCAATCGTTCAATCTGTGTCTAAAAGTATGTACCAGAAACTTATGATCTTTAGAAGTTTGGGATACAACAATTAGACAAAATTGTATTCAATATTTATGCTATTGATTTGTCTTCAGGTGTCCAACAGCCAGTAGAGGTGTGTTTTAAGCCACATATTTTACATTGTCTCAGAAAAGGGAGAGCATCTATGCACCAAAACCACTACAATAAGATGTAGTAGTTTTGGTGCTCAGACTTTCCCTTCAACAAAGGTATACATTTAGAATGCTTGCAATCCAGAGGGTTTTAGCATCATGAAAATGCAATGCCACCAATTTGTAACATACCCTTCTTGCTACAATAGTTGTTATTGTAGGAAGAAGTATATTTTCTTACTTTTACAATAGTTGTAAAGTATTTTTGAATGTGTACTATGATCATTTTGCAGCTGAAGATTTGAAAACAAAATGTCTAATTAGATTTTATTCTTGTATAATACTTGCAGTAATTTCTGTATATTAATTATTTAATATATTTAGTTTGTCAATAAAAAAATGTGTTTTATATTTAAATATTAAATGCCAGTTCATGAAATGAGGGTCCATTTTGTACAGTCTCCTTTGTAGGAATCTTCTTTTTAATATCAGTTCATCATGGAGGCAGAATGTCTAATGACACCCTTCTTGAGTCACATAGATTAAAAAGCTTCTAGGAAAGACATAAGAAGACAAAGACAGTGACAAAAAGATGTATTAACAGTCCTGTGAGTGGCGAGCCTTAAGGAAATGCTACAAATACGCTAAAAAGAAAAAGTCCCTGCAAAATGGTTACTGTAAACCGTAGGACAAGCTGAAGATAGGATTTCAGAAATACTTGATATGGTTTGACTGGCCTGATCGAGGGATTCTAGACATCAGTATAATCAAAATATACAAAGTCAAAAGTGTACCATGCACGGAAATTCAGGAGCATGGTAGCTAGTGGACACATTGGCTTATATATTGAAGTGGGCAACAATAAATGCACTTACATGATTTTTTAGGCAGTGTTTGACAGGGCCTGGAAAGCTCTAGGTCTAATTTTGGCCCTTTTCATTGTTAGCCCCAAATCCCAAGTAATACCAAGAGAGAAATAACATCTCAAATTGCATAATTTGTGATAGAGCCACCTACAAGGAACTTCCCAAGTGACATAACCACTACAGTGAGCTCTACAAAGGTTTCACCACTAAGCTGGGCTCTGCTAGTCACCACTCCCCCTCCTCAGCCTCCAGGAGAACTAGGACCTTCCATTAGCTCTGCTGGGCTAAACTCAAGCTGCAAAGGAGGCAAGGAGTGGTGCCCGGCATGCCCCAGGTAAGAATTGAAACCGTTCTGAAAAGGATTGACTATCTTGGGGTAATGTTTATGGTGCTTGGAGTGTTGAAAAAACGCACAATATTTGAAGATAATTATTCAGCACAGTGTGGTATTGCTATGAGTGCAGGGTTTTAATGCAGTGGGCTGCAGTGTTAGTTAACACAGCATGACTTGTGATTAATACAGCAGGTGTGCAGTTTATCATTATGCATTTCTATATTATTCTGAATTAATCCAAAGATTTGGTGTCACACTGTAATTCATACAACATGTTAGGGTTTAGAGTTGGACATGGTACATGGTATATGGCTGGTTTGAGTAGGGGCTTCAGTCAATATGTGGGAGGGAGCATAACATTTACCTTTGGTCTGAAACCAATGGTATTGTTGCTACATATCAACACCCCTTGGGGTAAGATTAGCACAAATACATACCCCCAATATACCACCCAAAGTTGGACGAACCCACATGGAAAGGGGGAGCCTCTGCTCAAAGAATAGACAGATCAGCCTGATTGGAGTGTATTGCAGGATGCCTGTCAATCACTCAGGTTAGCCCACTAAGGGTGGACCATGCAAATAGCTATCCAACTTCTGTTTGTTTTTATTCTGGACGGAGGTCCACTGCACCTACGGCTTATGGCATGTACTCATGGCCATGCCACAGTTAAAAAGGATTATATATTATTAATGCTCCTGAGGAAGTTGAAGATCAGCAAAATGCGTAGCGCTATTCCTTGGAATTGAATTATTGCCACATCCAGACATCCTATTTTAACCAGCTGAGGACCTTTTCCTTTGAACTGCGGTTATCTTTTGGAATATGGAAAGTGGCTAGTCTGGAGTATAAGAGCCCTTTGGATCCAATGCACTGTTTGTACAATTTATGTTGTGCCTTATTGTTCTGAGTGGCTTTTTATATGCTTTTAATGTTACCACATGACAGAAGTTTTCATATTTAGCATTCTTTCTTTACCGAACCTCCAATTCCAGCATTAACAATCAATCCAGAAACAACCAATCAGAAAAAAAGAGGTTGAGTAAAGGACATAACTTCCTCTTTCTTTGCTACCACAGACTCCAGTTCAGGTAAGAGTATTTGTATTAGGGGGAGCTCCTACTGCTTACTGTGCCAATCTACCGCTGGAATTTACAGTCTGTGTAGTATTATGGAGGAATTTCAGCCTCACAGGGGGGATTTCTAGGCCATGTTCAACACTGCTGTTGCAGCTTCAGGGTAAAAGGCCTGCTCTACAGGTGTCCCTCACCTGCCTGTGGACTCTGCAGTGTCACAACCTCAGATGGCTCATTGGTGGATGCCGCTGATCCTCTAAATGCCTCTGGAAGGGAACTTCCAGGGCATCTGTCTCCAAAGGCAAAGCTCCAGGCAAAAAGAGCAAAGTGACCTCTTCCCCTGAGGTTCAAGGGGTTCAAAGAATGTCAAGGTTGTTAATTATTTCCCAGCTGTACTCTTGGTGGTGCATGACTGATGATCTGAGAAATTGGGCTCTGATTAGGAAGACTCTTTGGCCGGTCAACTTTCGCGAGCTCCTGCAGTCAAAATACGGGGCTCTGCCAGGCTCTCAGGGAACATTTGTTCTTCTTAGTCTCAAGCACCTTCCCTACAAAAAGCACTCTCAAGGTAAACGATCATGGAAAGAAGCGTTTGTCACAAGACCAGGTTATGTGATTGAGTCACTCCTTTATAAGCAGAGCACACCTTTCAGTCAGTGCTTGGCTGTTTTGTTGCCTGACTCAGAACTCCAATCATTTGTTCCCCTGTGTTATCTGTCCTTACTGGTTTCCTGACTTTGCTTGCTCTCTAGATTTTGCTAATTGCCACATGCACTGACCTCTGGACCGTCTGACTCTGATTTCTGCCTGACCCTTCTTCGGATGCCTATGCCTTGGATTTTTCTGTTATTTTTATTAAAGCCCCTGTGCCATCACTGACCCAACAGAATTCTGTTCTTAACATCAGTATCTCTGTAAATCATACTTGTAAGGGACAGCTATTACTGCACCTGAGTTCCAGGACTGAACAAAACCACAGTGGTTTGTGTTAAAGTCCTGGAGAAAATCCTAATGTGAGAAACTCAGGAAAACAGAAAAGGATAGGATGGGCATGGACTGGAGAAGGGAATGCAGGGAGGAAACTGTAACACAGGCTGGGTAATACCAGCACCTAACAGTGATGTGGAACATGCCAATCTGATCTCGGTGCCATGACATCAGTTCTTGATGCCATGACATCTGCTAGAATGTCACAGAAGATGTCTAAATGGTTCACCATTAGAGTGGAGTCCCTGGGGGTATAACAGTATGGCATTTTGCACAATGACGGCTGTACCCTCCTTCTGGCAATACCCTTACTTATCAACAATGTTCCAAAAGTAAATAGAGTTGCCTGTGTGGTAGCAGGCAGCTGTATTTAACATTCAACCTCCCCTTACTCTTTAACCACATCAATATTACCCTTAACTTTTTGCGGGACTGTCTTAATATCATCATTGCTATACACTATATATCATTAATAAGAGTCCATAATTAAAGGTGTGGTGCAGTCACCGAACCTGTAGCTCAGTGTAATGGATCTATCAGGAAATAATGGGTTAATCAAACTAATTTGCCTCCCTTTTTCTAGGACTTGGGAATCAGATGAAAGTTACTCTGTACAGTTCTGAGAGTAATTATTATTTGCTTCTCTTCCCCTCCCTGTGTGATTCTGCACCATTAAACACAGATAATTAAAGGCAATTGCAATTGTTTATTCTAGAGGAGGCTCTTATTAAGACTGGGGAAGTGTGCATAACACAGGGCTTATAATTTGAATAATAATTACCACTGGCATTTCTGAGTTTTAAAATTATCTCCTGGAAATGTGTTCTTATCATTTGCTGATAATTATTTTTAAAACACAGAATCAGCACTTATTGCCACTGTTATTTCTTTACGTGGAAAACAAGATTTCTTAAAAAAAATTTTTTTTTCAAAAGTAAAATATATATACATATAGGAGAAACATCTAGACTTATTTACATGTCTAGAAAACATTAATGGAACTTTGAAAAAGAGTACTTTTACCAAGATGATTGAACTTAATAAGATTATGTAAGGAGTGCATAAGCTATGAAAGTTGTATCCTTTTTCACATGTAAAGGAGGTAATTATCCCTCAAAGTGAAAAGGCAGTGTTTACATTGCTGCCTAGTAACACCTCTAGTGGGTGTCACTCAGACAGCCACTAAAGGTGCTTCCTGGGTCAGTGATACACAATGTGCAACACTAACGTTTAGCACCTCTACGGACTGCATGGAGGCATAGAACGTTCCTTGTAGAGATACATTGATCACCGTTCTCTAGTTCTGTTAATTTTGATCATCTCAATCAAGGAGGTAGAGCGGGGTGGAGCCAGCCATGACGAAAAATAGCACGCCCTCCCCCTTACACAGAAAATGTTCCAATGTTCAAACATTCTACACAGATTTTGAACATGACGGCGTAAATAAAGGTTGCCATATAATATTTACTAATTACAACCATACTATCCCCATGTAATCCTTATCAATGGATTATATATTGCCAGTTAATAGCACGAGTAACCTTTTGAAGATTAGGTACATGCTTATTAATTGGTATCATACCAGTATGCTGGTAACAGGCACCAAGATAGCCTCACTCCTCCTTCCTTACTTGCCTTGTGTCTGTGATGTGTATGACACTGATAGTTGCATTGCAGAACTTTTAAAATCCACCCCACTCATTAAGTAATATGTATAGTATATTGTGAGGTAGACTAAAGATAAGTTTCAGTGTCACACAAATCATTTAGATAAGGAGTTTAGAGAAGGAGGAGCAAGGCTATCTAGGTAGCAGTTAAGGGACTTGGGGCCCATGGGTTAGGGGCGCAACACTTGCCTTGCCCCAGTCACTGGCAACCCACACTACACCACTGATTAAACATGAGAGCAGAGAGACAGCTGTGCTGCCTCTTCCTCTTTACCAAAACCTACCTTGCTTGAGAACTGGGATGGAGGTAATATGTAAAATATAAGTAGGACCTACCAAACAGTCCCTCTTATGGCCTTGACCTCTTGGAGCCAAATAAAAATTAGATTATCTGCTCACCCAACTCCTAACCAATAGGCTCCAGAATGATGGAAAAGAGCTCTCTTCAGGGAGGACCCACACCTCTATATTTAGGTTGCAAAATTATGCCTAGCATCCTCATCTTCTTTATATTAAAGTGGCCATCCTTCAAATAAAAAACAAAAATTAAATATTGCAGACAATTGTTTGTAAAAAAAAAAAAAAAGTGCAACCATAAACTACATCCAACCAGCCCATTGACTTTCTCCGGTTGCTAAAACATTTCTCTGGTTGCCATAAACATACATATAGTTGCTATAAACATTTCTCCTGGTGCTATAAACATTTCTCTGGTTGCTATAAACATTTGTCTGGTTGCTATAAACATATGATTGCTATAAACATTTCTCCTGTTTTTATGAAAATTTTTCAAGTTGCTATTCTCATTTCTTCTGTTGCTATTTTCATTTCTCTGGTTGCTATAAACATATCTCTGGTTGCATATCTCTGGAATACGGAAACATGTTTCCAGTTACTATAAACATTTCTCGGGTTGCCATAAACAAATATTTGGTTGCTATAAACATTTCTCCTGTTTTTATAAACATTTCTCCAGTTGCTATAACATATTTCCGGTTGATATAAATATTTCTCTGGTTGCAATAAACATATATCTGGTTGCTATAAACATTTGTCCTGCTTTTATAAACATTTCTCCAGTTGCTATAAACATATCTCTTGTTGCTATAAACATATCTCAGGTTGCCAGAAACATATATCTGGTTGCTATAAACCTTTCTGTAGTTGCTACAAACATATATCTTGTTGCTATAAACATATCACTGGTTGCTATAAAGATTTCATAGGTTGTTATAATAATTTCTAGGTGTTTTTTCAGCGGGGCTGTTTTTTTACAGGAGGCTGGGGTTTTGTACAGTGCGGGGTTGAGGTTTTGTACAGGGGCCTAGGTTTTGTACAGGGGGCTGGGGTTCTGTATAGGGGGGCTGGGGTTTTGTAGAGTGGGTGCTGGGGTTTAGTAGAGGGGGGTGCTAAGATTTAGTATTGGGGGTGCTGGGGTTTTGTAGAAATTGGATGGGGGGCAGCAGATTGTAAATGTGCCAGAGGGAGGTGGGTTATCAGTCAACAACACCACTTTCATGCCTAACAGCCCAATAAGACCCCATCCAGGCTCTATTAGATTCCATTAGAGTCTTTAATGAAGATTGAAACCGTCTAATAAATGAATATGATTTAATTATTAAATAAGATATAAAATATATATATCTCATTTCTGCTTGGTGTTTTTATCTTGATTACATTTTCACTTTGTCCTATTTGTTGATTTATCATCTAGTTACCATGTCAGCTTGGTCTCACGATTTAGCTGGTTTCCTAGTAACCACGATATCTCTGCAAGTGTCATTACGTCATAACAACACTTGCGGCTTTCCGTCACTTCCGGTTTGGAATCAGTTTGTGGCCCACATAAACTTAAACCTTGTTTATTTTGCCCATGTTAGCCCTTTGAGTTTGACATGCTTGCTATAAACATATATAAACATATCTCTAGTTGCTATAAACATTTCTCTGGTTGCTATAAACATATCGGGTTGCTATAAACATTTCTCCTGTTGCTATGATCATTTCTCTGGTTGCTATAAACATTTCTCTGGTTGCTATAAACACATATCGAGTTGCTATTAACTTTTTTCCTGTTCCTATTATCATTTCTATGGTTTCTATAAACATATATCTTGTTGCTATATACATATCTCCAATTGCTATAAACATTTCTCTGGTTGCTCTAAACATATATCTGGTTGGTATACACATTTTCCCTGTTCCTACAAACATTTCTCCTGTTGCTATAAATGTATCTATGGTTGCTATAAACATTTCTTCTGTTGCTATACACATATCTATGGTTTCTATACACATTTCACCAGTTGCTACAAGCATATCACTGGTTGCTATAAACATATATCTGGTTGCTATAAATATTTTCCCTGTTTTTATAAACATTTCTCCAGCTGCTATAAACATATCTCTAGTTGCTATAAAAAAATTGCCGGTTGCTGTAAACATTTATCTGGTTGCCATAAACATATATCTGGTTGCTATAAACATTTCTTCTGTTTTTATAAACATTTGTCCAGTGGCTATAAACATTTTTCCTGTTGCTATAAACATTATATCTGTTGCTATAAACATATCTGTAGTTACTATAAAGATTTCAAT